TTGTTGGGGCGGGGGTCTCTGGAGGCCAGATTGTGATTGATGGTGGCAGAGAGAGTGGGGTACGTATCCGAGAGGCCTAAGGTCTCATTGAGCTTGCTTAGTTCTGTCGCCTCAAAGACGGCTTGGTCCAGCTGTGGGATTATAAGCCCATTTTGATCCAGGTATGTTGGAGCTATTATGGAGAAAGTTTTTGGTGTGTGAGAACGGTTGTCACGCAGAATGAGGAGGTTGGTTTCAAAAACCAAGAATAAAGAAGGGAAGAAGGATGACTGCTAACAATTCTTACATATTAGTAATATATATTGGCTCCTTGGATGATAATGGAGTTCATACAAGAATATAGGTAACAGAATGAAGTGTTGGAATATTTTATTTTATTCATTTTCAAGTTAACCAGTGCATGTGTGTCTCATCAAAGGTATTTGAGAACTTAGACGACATTACCACTGTTCATACTGATTTGCCCTGCATTCTCTTGAGCCGCTCTCCCAATTGGCAGAATGCTATCACTTCCATGTCATTATACGTACATCAACTCCTTTTTGCAACACATTTTCACCATAAGGTCGAACTCGATAGGTTAGAGATTAGGGGCAATCTAATAACAATTAGGGGTTATCTGATGGATTTCCCCGGAGGTCCATCTACAAAAATTACTTTAGTGAACAAATACCAAATTGAAGAACAACAGGCAATGAGGTTCAAAAAAGAAATGGAGAAAACAGAAGAGTTTCTCAATGCAGTACCGGAAAAAACTTCCATGTATCTTTCACCAATGATTATCAAAATATTATGGCTAGACCGCTCCCACCTGCCTATCCGTCGAGAACATTGAGTAATAGAGATGTTAGTTGAAGGATCGGGATGGTGTAGGGTGGTTTGATGAGTTAGGAAGGTGCTCAGGAGATAGGATAAGTACTAGGCGCTTTGGGTACAGATTGTGGATGGAAGTACCGGGATCGGGATCGGTTATGGGTGTTTAATATATTGGCTCATTATTTCTTTATGTGTGGTTGTGAAGGTTAGTAATTGTGTTTCTTCTTGAGGTTTATATTCGGGGCTTTGTTCCCCTTCTCTGTACTTCTCTTTCTTTCTTGCTTAAGCAACGTCTTCATTCTGTTAGTTATCAATAAATTTTGTCGATCGGTATATGAGCCCAGTCCCCTGTTCTAGTCCTTGAATTGTATCGTGAGTCGATCCTCGCCTCGCTTCCTGTGTCTGTTAATACTAGTTTCTCAACCTGTTAGACATACACCTATAGTCAAGTCCAATGTGGTGGTGATGATTGAGATGGATAATTCTCTACTCAATATGATGACTACAATAAATCAAGTGAAAGATCATACAACAGAAGTGTCTGCTATAGGGAAAAAACCCGGTGACAAAAGCGCTAATGCAGGTGGGTTAAATGGTAACAGATATGGAAATCATACAAATGAGTTGCCTTTAAAACTATAATCACCTGTATTTTTAATTTCATTGAAGATATGAGTAGGGTGGAGAGAGCTTATCAGTTCTAATGCTGGTATGAAACACATTTCACATTACGCCGCATTTGGTATCCGTTAATTCTCTGGGCGCTTAAAACCAGAATTATTCATATCTTTCCTATTTCAATCACTGTGTGCAAATGTATAGATCAATAACCCATAAATTGTTCAGGATTGAGGTGGGTAGCTTTGGTGTCTATTATGGTTGGAGAAGGTTATGATTCAAAAAGGCCTAGCCTGTGGGTTCAGATACAACCAATAAGATATAGAAGTATGTGAAAGCAATAAGTAACTGCCCATTATTAGAATCAGGTAAACACAGTCACGTTCCAGTACACAGAGAAGCTAGAAGGGATTTTCTGGAATGAAAGTGGTGGAAATAAGAAAAAGCTAAGACTAACGGGCCTGCAGCAGTAAGAATCAACTCGAAAAATACTGGAAATGCCTCCCTGGTGAACAATGTTTATGCTTCTCTGTATATAGTAATTATTTATTAGGTTCCATCAGTCTTAACCTGTCTTTTCTTTGTATACAACTTTGGATAATTTATTCACCCCCTTGCCACCTCCCAGATTTGGGCCCGAATTTGAGACATATCTCTCCCCAACCCGCTGCGGTCCATGGGATATATACGAAATATTTGAACTAGCAACTGCAGAAATGTAAGTACTCAAATCGTTTACAATGATCTATTCTGACAAAGATAGTGCAAACAGTGACTGGGGAATTTTGATATATGACGGATTTGATGCTCACCTTGCCGCTGCTGTCATTGAGTTTTGTTGGAGTAAAAGGATTATTATCTATTGCCTACCCGCGCATAACTCCCATTTTCTGCAACTTCAGGATGGCGGTATTTTCTCCTCCCTACAGAATGCCTAGGGAAAGGAAGTCAACAAGATTAGAGCTCAAGCAATTACCAACGACAACTCCCCCAACCTTTTTGCTAGGACGCGTCAAAAAGCTTTGACATCAGGGAATATCAAGGTAAGATTCCGTGCAACTGGGATTTTACCTTGAAGACCGCATATTCCTCTCAATACTTTACGGGTACCCAGTGAGCCAACCTACAACTGACTAACTAAACTCCGGAACTAAAGCCCGACAGCGTCAACTCCCTGAAGAACACCCTGCGCAGGCGGTAACTCCTCCTACATCTTCTCCTGCAGCGCTGAGAGCGGACATCCCGAATACGCCGAGACTATCAGGATGACCCGATCAGCAACTGCAAGAACTCCATGAACACGCAATGTGGACATACGTAACACCTACTACACCAGAAGCATCAAGTTATTGCAAGATATAAGCCTACAAATAATTACCTCCTCAAGTCCCTACAGCTCTCATCAAAGGACCCTAATCATTAACCATTCTCATGTAGAGAGGAGATTGTTGGCAATGGCAAATAGCGGGAAAAGCATTTGAGGGAAACCTATAGTAGAAGGCCTCAGGGCGCTGTGCAGAGGGGCACGCGCAAGGTTGAATAGTAGGAGTGCCGTCATTGTGGAAAGAGGTAGAACTCTTAGGGCTGACAGGACTGCAGGAGATAGGGCAGAGTCTAGAAGGGAGAGGATATGCATTGGACCACCATCACAATCAGCTTTACCAGCTGAACCTGTATATCACCAATAGATTATGAAATTATAACTACTGATCTCTATTTAGCCTTGTGATTTTGGTGTTCCTCACTGTTGACGCCCAAAAGATCCCCACGCACCCATGGCCGCCACACACCCGTGAGCAGGTCTAGGTATGGAGCGTTAACCATTCCATTGCGTCGTACCACGGGTGCAGATCCCTCACTGCGCATTCTTACTTTGCTGAAGGCCTGCCATGTCTTCTTCCCCTAGTACTTCTTTCCAGCCCTAAATCTTCTCTCCCCACCCCGCGCCATGCTCCGTATCCCCCCTCTCCCGCACCGCGACACCCCCGAGCCCAAGACTGTTGGCGGAATTGTACTAATGCACACCCTCTACACCTGTGCACACACTCCCCTAACATACCCGCCACTGTCCTCGGCCCCTTCGCGCAGTCTGAAACCACCATACTCCCGCCCGCACCCCCGAAGGAGAACGAACAGACAGGGGGCGGAGTCCTCGATTTGGCGGTTGGTGCCGGTTGCAAAATCATCGAAGCGCGCGCCGGGGTGGTGCCACGCAGGCGGTTGCGGCGGCGGCGGCTCTAAGGCCGGGTCTTGTCCCGCTTAGGTCTCTGCGGGGGTTGGCGGTTGTGTGGCACATGTAGCTACACCCATCACCACTGTAGGCGCCATAGAGGCGCGGGGGGAGGGAGGCTTGGAGGGGGGGGGGGGGCATGCGGGGGATGTGAGCTGGAGGATATAGTGCGGGAGTAACTACTATGGAGGAAAGTAAAGCGCAGAGAGGCGGAGAGGTCACAGCCACACTCTCCTACGCGCGCCTCCGTGGCGTAAAGAGGCTCCCCCTTCATATGGCTGTTGATGGTAGTGTAGTTACTGGCCCTCACGGGCGGCGGCGGCGGCGGTGGGAGCGTCGTAGATGGGGGTGTGAGATTGCTGGTGCGTGAAGGTGAGGGGCCATCGAGGCGGCAGGTGGCACGTGGTGATGACTCAGCGCAGATCAAGGCTTGGCAGCGGGATTGCGTATCCACGGGACGGGTAACAGGGGCAGGGGTAGGCCGGGTGTAAGCGAGCGCCACGTGCATGTCGGGTTTGTGTCACCGACTCGAGGCGGAACGGACGGCGCTGGTGGTTTATCTGCCCAAGAGCATGTTGATTGACACCCTTATGCTCCACAGTGAGTGCGCTCCATGATGCCGTACATTTCAGCTGCCGTCTATGATAAGCAGCCTGACTGGAGTCATGGGATATCACTCGCCGCCAAGACATTTCAACGCTTGACCGTCTCTGTGACTGCGACTAGGGGGGAAACTTATAGATCGTAGGCCGTTGTGCTATTAGTGGTAGTGATGTTGCACTTCGTTTTCGCTGGATGCGTGTGAGCTTTTAGACATGCGATATCACTCGGTGCCAAAGTACCCAGTGTGTGTTGTGTGAGATGCTCTGCGGGGGGGTCGGGGGGGGAGGCTATGGATGAATTCGGTGATATTCATGTGGGGTGACCATATGGATAATGGTATAACAGCGATTACACTTCTCAAAATTCTTATACCCGCTGGCGACCCCCGCCAGCCGGCCAGGAAAAGAACCACCGCCATGCAGCCAGTGCATCCATATATAGTGTTCAGCCTGTTAGCGAAAGAGATTTATACTCATGCCCTCTCTGTCTAAGTACTCCTTTCCGCGTGCGAAGTCTTCCACACCCGAACCAGAAACACCCGACAGTAAGGCTGTAAAGCGAGAGCTAGGTTCTCCGTACTACCTCTCGCCCCCCCTCACCCCTCCCACTTATGCACAGGCACCCGACCCGCATACCAGCATCCAAGGAGCCCTCCAGCGCCGAACCCCCTAGCATCTTCCTCCCGTAGCGCGTGGGTCCACCTCAAGAGCCCCCCCAAGAGAGAAAGCAGCAAGACAACGTGGCCGAGCGGTTAAGGCGTCAGACTTGAATTCCTCCACTCTATTCAGTTATCTGATTCCTTCGGGAGCGCAGGTTCAAGTCCTGCCGTTGTCGATTACTTTTTAATCTTTTTTTTATCATTCTTTTATTTTGCGTAGGGACAATAAATTCTGTGTTGGTTGAAGCGTGGGTTAGGGTTTGGTATCATTTCTTGTCTAGGGTTCTGCGTTTTTTTTTTTTTTTTTTGTTTAACTCATTGATTACATGCAGACCGTAGTCTATGGTAATATCGCACTCCCCAGAACTGCCCTTCTGCTTCCACCGCCACTCACAGTACTCGTACCACAGTCGAAAAGACGAACAAACGAAAACAAACCGCAAAGAAATGATTACACCGCTTCTGCTCCTTCCCTTTCCTTGAGTCCTCCCCACCCCCGCGTTGCCTCTCTCTCTTCTTCATCCTTTTCTTCATCCCTCTCCCCATTCCCGTGCCTCCACTTTGCAAATTCTTTCCATATCTTGATCGCGCTCTCAATGCCTGTCTTTGTCCACAGGAGGGCCTGGACTGTTTTATGATCTTCGTCTCTAGCTCTGGCCGCCTCTGTGGCCTTGCATGCTGTTAGGATGTGGGCGACGCTCTGTTCGCCGCCTCCGCATTCGCATTCTGCCGTGTCCTTCTTTTTGAAGCGGTGGAGGTATTGGTTGATGGCAATATGCCCTGTTCTCAATCTGCTGATATTGGCTCTGTCTTTCCTGTCTGTGGCCTCAAATCTTATCAGATGGCGCTGGGCCGGCTCATGTAACGCATTTTCCTTATTTCTCCTTGTCTTCCAGTCTTCCCCCCAGTCTCTCACGGTGATTTCTCTTGATTCCCTTTCCAGGTGGGCGAACGAGATAAAGGTATCTTTATCGAGGGGGCCCGTCCCAACCGCCGCTTTTGCTGCTTCGTCTGCTATTGTGTTCCCCTTGATGTTGGCGTGTGCCTTTACCCACTCCAGTCTGACCGTAATCTTCTGTGTCTTTGCAGCGTCGTATAGCCATCGTATCTTATGCGCCATCATTTCCCCCAATGTTCCTTGTCTTTTGACAGTACGTCTCATGGCCTCCTGGCTGTCGCACCGTACTGTTATAATGCTCTTTCTCTCCCTGGCGGCGTCCTTCATGCCTATCTCTATTGCTTTCTTAATCCCGACCATTTCAGCGTCCATGATCTCCATCTTCTTTCCTAACCTAAAACCTATGCTTCTGATGACCTCTCCTTCGTCGCTTAGCCTGCACACTCCTGCTGCTGTGCCTTCGCCTTTCTTGGACCCATCACTGTACATAACTATTTCATCGGCTCCTACGAACCGGTGTTCTTGTCTTTCTTTTTCTACCCCCTCTTTGTCATAAAACCTTATTTCGACCTCCATCTCTTCCCTCGCTTCTCTTTCCCATCTCTTCTCTTCCCTATGTAACGTTTTCCATTTTTCAATTTTGTTCCATTCTTTTCCGACCAGCGTTTCCAGGTTTCTTACTGCGCCCGGCATACCCCTTTTCCTCGCTGTCTTCCTTCTCCTTCCTGCATTCCAGGTATTCGTGGCTTCGGCCACGTTCTCAATTTCTCTCTTGACCGCTCTATATGAAGGATGGTTGGGCGCGCGCTGCAGTGCTTTGATTGCCAACACTCGTTCTTTGTCATTGAACCTATGTTCGGTGGGTATCATGTCGTTTTCCACCTCCACAGCGGCTGTGGGGGCTGTCCTGAAGTGTCCTCCTATCCGTTTCATTGCCTGTATGTTTCCCTTGTCTATCACCTTGGCTAGCGTCTTCTGGCCTTTCCACCACACCTTTCCTCCGTATTCGGCCACTTGCCTGGAGCATGCAATATACATTTTCCTCGCATTATTTACTCCCATGCCTTTGCTTCCTCGTCCTAGCCTGATGATGCTTTGGGCTGCTCTTGACGCCCTCGCTACTTTCTCTCGGACGTGATTTTTAAACGTCAGTCCGCTATCGATCCATACTCCTAGCCACTTGATTTCCTTTGACTCTGCCTTCTCTGTTCCTCCTGGCAGCATGAGCTTTTCCTCTTCCTCTTCCTTCCTGCCTATACGGATCCATTCCATCTTCTCCTCCTCGAATCTCACGTGGTTCTCTTCGGCCCATTTATATGCCTTGTCAACCAGGTTCTCTGCTCTCGTCATAGCCTGGTCCCAGTCCCTGCCCGCTACTGCCAGGGTGAAGTCGTCTATGAACGTCGGGGCAATAGCTTCCCCTTCGAACTCTCTATCGATTTCTTCATTTATCTCCTTGATGAGCGGGGCAATGTACAAGTTGAAGAGGATCGGGGATGCCGGGCTTCCTTGAGCGATGCCCGTCTCCACCACATGCTCCTCTCCTGTCTCTCCATCGAATCGCAGTGTGACCGTTCTGTCGCTCATGAAGCTGTTGACCCAGTGTGCCAGCTTATGGTTGCCGCTTTGTTGGTACACTATGTTGGCTAGTCTTGCTTTCGACACATTCGGGAAAGCCTGTGCGATGTCCATGGCCACTAGTACCACCTTTTTCCCCTCCTCTTTCTTTATCTCTGCCCAATCGAGGGTGTGTCCCACGCATTCCTCCGCTGATCTTGCCTTCCTTCCTCCCCACTGGTGTTCACTTAATCCTCCTCTTTCTCCCACCTCCACTAGCATGTCCGTGCAGATTCGTTCGAGTCCTTTACCTACTGCATTAAGGAGCGAGATCGGGCGATGCGCTTTAGCTTTCGAATAATCGGCTTTTCCTGGCTTTGGGATAATTGCCCCGGTAGCGGATCTCCACTTCTTTGGGTGGTAGCCTTGATTGATAGCCAGCTGGTATGTCTCTCTGACTCTGCCTCCGATGGCTGGCCAGAGCTCCTTCAGTGCTATGAAGCATACCCCATCTGGGCCCGGTGCCTTATAGGACCCTTGTCTGCTTATCGCGTTTCTCGCTGCGTCTTCCGTGATTCTGATTTCTTGTGGTTCCTCGGGGATGGGCGGGACTTCCGGGTCTGTGTCTTCTGGTGCTCTTGGAAATAGACACTCTAAGAATATTTGTTCCTTGTCTCTGAACGTGGCCGCCGTCTGATCTCCGTGTACTATAGTTGGAGTTTTGGCGCACCGTTTCTTACTCAGGAGGCGCGACACTCCCCATAGGTCCTTGCCTGTTGAGTTACCCACATAGTCGTCCCAGCATTCCTTCTTCTTTCTCCTAATCAAGCTGAAGTACTGGTTGCGTTGGACCTTCCACCTGGCCTTCTTGGTCTTTGTCCATTCTGTTTCTGTCTCCCTTATCATGCTCCACCTTCTCTCTCGTACCACCTCCTGTCTCTTTGCTTTTACCTCCTCATCGAACCATTTCTTGCTTCTCCAGGTTCTGTCAGCTTTCGGTACCCCCTTTTCTACGCCTGCCCTGATGACGTCCTCCAGTATGTTCGCCATATCGTCGACGTCCTCGTTGTCCCTTGCCCTCTTCCATTCTTCCTCCGTGGCCCTGATTCTTTCTGAGGCCCCTTCCAACCCTGCCTTCCAGTCACCTTTCCTATAGTTGTATGGGTTTTCGAGGGGGTTGTAGGAGTCCTGCTCCATATTGCTGGTAATCGTGATTTTTATAAGCGCGTGGTCGGACCCTGTGTCTTCTTCTGATATTTCCCACTTTATGAACGTTTCGATGCCGTTATTTGCCCATGCGAGGTCAAGGACCGACTTCTGATCTCCTCTTTGCCATGTCGTCCTGTCTGGTTCATTAAGCAGTGCGAGATTCTCTCTCTCGACTATCTCCATAACAGTTTCCTCACGGATGGGATCGGATAGTGAGTCCCACAGGGTTCCCTTGGCGTTAAAGTCTCCGAGTATGATGGTCCCCTGCTGTTCGAACATTCCTTCCGGGAGTCTGTTCAGGCACCATCCCTCCCTACCGCCATGTGCTTGGTTGTAGACATTGATGATCCTGAGTCCTGTTTTTCCTTCCGGGTCCATAATATCGATGACACTGGCATCAGGGTCTTCCCAGATGTCGTTCCTTACTGCGTATCTTATTCCCTTGTTCCTTCTGATCATCCACATGACCCTGCTCCTTCCTTTCTCTGTTCTGGGCTGGTATACGATGTCCCAGTTATTGCTTCCTACCGTTATTTCTCCTCCCCCCAACTCCGTCGCTCCTCTCATCTTTCTGCCACTCTTGATCTTGCCTATGTATGGTTCCTGTATCGCTATGATGTCCACCTCCCTACCACTCCCCATCAGCCCCTGCATAACGTTGGTAGACCCGTTGCAGTTGTGCTGTAGGATGGTGAGTTGTTTAATCATCGGCATGGTTTGCTGCTTTGGCGTTACTAGATTCGCCTGTCTTGTTTGTCGGGCCCCATGTTGGTTTCCATGCTGGTCTCGCCGGTAGTCTCGCTTGTCCGATTGATTTTCTGTACTGGTTTGCTTTCTCGTCGCACCATTTGGAGATTACGGTATGGGGTCCTCCGCAGTTCGCGCACTTCTTATGGTTCTTATGGTGGCTGCACCACCCTAAGTTCTTGCATTGTCCGTCATCGCATCTGTGCTCGGCTGTCTTATGCCCAGTTTTGCCGCAGATGCCGCATTTCTTCATCCTCTTGCACCCCATCCATGTGTGTCCCCATTTGCTGCATGTTGTGCAGAGCATCTCCCGTCTCATTGCATTGTCGACGTAGACCCTTGTGGCGTGTGTTTTGATATCTGAGCCGCTGTGTAGGTAGCCGTTGTCTACAATGACTCCCTTTGCCAGCTTCTGGCTTGTGGCTTCGTCTTTTAGATAGATGACTAGGCTCATGGTTCCGGTCCTCCACGTGTCCTCTTTTGTTAGCCATCTTGGTGTACTGGCTAGGGTGACCTGGTTTTTCTCCTCGATGTGCTTCCTGAGCTCCTCCATTTTTCCTGTCCATTTGACGTCCACTAGGTGCACAACCCTTCCTACCCCGGGTTCCCTCTGTCCGAGCTTCTGGATGCCTGCTACCTTGCCTTTTTCCATAACCTTTGCTGCCTCTTCTTCGCTGTCAAGTATGATCTGAAGCTTGCCCCCCGGGAGCACTTTATCAACACAAGTTTTCCTGTCCAAGCCTAGACGGTTGAGCACGTCATTGG